TGTTCGCGCGAATCATTCGTGATCCAGCCTCATCTACAGAAGAAGTGAGTATAATGTTTTGTAATGAATCTTTGCAAATCGCCTTTCCTAATAATGTGCTAATTAGCAAGATTCACAATGAATGCGGCTAAAATAAACAGTAAACAGCAGCTCGGAAGAGAGGGGCGGGGTCAGCATAGCTCATTAACATTTAAAGGAAAATGCTACAAAAATGGCTTGATCTGAAAAGAGCTGTTTTTGACAGGGTAAAAAAGGTGTTTTTTACACTACCATTGAGAATTTTTAACCAAACTATGTTACAGACTTTTCATTAAGACCCTAAAGAATCATATCAACTTGTGGAAAATGGGCATCCTATGACCCCTTTAAGAGTGAGGCCATCAGCTGTCACCCACATACAGTACATTATCAGGACTTGTCACTTTTTGAGTTGAACAGAACTTACAATTCCTGTGTTTCTCTGTGTGTGTCTAGGATACCCTGCGGGAATGTAAAAATGACAAATGCCTGAGTTACCTGCCGCTTTTGTCGCCTCTGTACTTTGTGACCTTCGTGCTGATAGCACAGTTTGTGCTGGTGAATGTTGTGGTCGCTGTGCTCATGAAACATTTAGAGGACAGTAACAAAGATGCCCGTGAGGAGGCCGAGATGGAGGCAGAGTTGAAGAAAGAGCTTCATGGCAGTCGTAGACAAAGCACCGCCTCTGTAGGCGGAGCCCCTGGGCTTGAGGTTTCAGCTGTTAAAATGGAGACTTTCTCACATGAACAGGTCTGTTCTGTACATTTTTTAAAAAACCTTTCTATATAAGGCCATGTGTTGACAGTTCTCTTGAAAATATTATGCCATGCAACCCCCCAAATACATTTAATAGATATTATTAGAGTAAGGCTAAATGTATTTTAGATATGTTTACGATGAGAAAATAAAATCTGAAAGTTTAGTTTACTATACTTGAATCTTGGGTGAAGGTTATTAGAAAAGGCTTAAATGTTGTTGTTTTTTAAGTAGTAGTAAAAGTAGTAAAAAGTAGTCTTTGTTAATGTCTAAATATATATCTAATCGGAAAACCTAATAAAATTAAATAGTTATGTCAGAAAATATTTTTTCTATATTTATGTTATTGTATCTAGAAATAGGGAATAATTTAGAGGTCCCTTCAAAATACAACATGTTAAAGAATAAAAATCATTGGGGGAAAAAATTATATTTATTTAATAAAAAAATGCTCTTAATCTTATTGTCTATTTTCACTGCCAAGGTTCACAATTGTGACCCCTACTAAGGAATACCATAGGGTTAAAAATAAATCTGTAGTAAAATTTGACCTTTAAAAAAAGTCAGCATGTACAGTTTTAAAGTGCATCAATCTTTTTCATTTAATGTTTAATTTGAGTATAGGACAGGTTATATATTATATTTAAAAAAAAAAATTTATATATATATATATATATATATATATATATATATATATATATATATAT